TTTTACTGGTATAGTGTAACTCACCCCTTTATTACTATTTCAGATCAAGAGAACCAAGACTCAAATCTTATTAAAAGAAGGTTGTGAACCACCATCCAGACTCCTTCAAAAACTAGTGAAGGTCGTTTTAAAATGCTCAATTGTTTACTTTTTGTTTATTTCTTTGATTTTCGTTTGTTCTTTTAGAAAGAATATTCCTGTAGTTTTATTGGGTATTTAAAATTATTGTGTAACAAATATAAACCCTAACTCTATTATTCCGCTTCCGCATTTAATTTATGATTTTGTTTCATTTTAGTTCCGAACTGTTACATATATAATTTAATAATTTATTAAAAAAATTATCCTATTTGCTTGAAATTTTGCAAAGTTAGAAGTTATCATCTTAAATACAAAGCTATATTTAATGCTAACATAATTGCACAGCATTTTAAATAAGTTCAAATGGCATAAAGACTACTTTTCTTCAAACGATTCTTTAAAAGAAAAAAGAAAAATTAGTCATAATAATCAAGCTCAGCTAATACAACAATTCAACTTTCAAAACCTATCTCTTATTTATTTTAATAAATTTTTTTTATTATTTTAATATGAATGACTATAACATTGTGTTTAGTTTAAATTAATAAATTGTAGCGCCCGGAGAAAAGGGGCCAAAAAAAAAAAAAGGCCATGTTGGCAGCCACGTCAACAGGCCCGGCCAACCGGGGCCTGCCACGTGGCAAGACCACATCACTCCGGAACGGGCCACGTTGGCGATCCGCGTGGGCGCGATCGGACGGCCCAGATCAATTGCGCGATCGGACGGCCCAGATGCAATCGCACGGATGGCCCAGATTCAATCAAAAACGAACGGCCCAGATTAAAACAAAATGGACGGCTGAGATCAAAAGGTAAGGGGTTATAAATAGAACCCCCACACCAGACCACAAACCCTAGCCGCCTGCCGCTCGCCGGAGAAGACAAACCAGAAGCCGGCCGCCGCCACCCGCCGCCGCGCCGGGGAAATTTTCGACCGCCAATCGAGGTAAATTTCATACCCCCGACTCATTTTTCCACGCTGATTCCTCCTGTGGCCAAATCGGAGCCAAAATCCCGGCCAAAGACCAGCGGCGCCGCCGCGCCCCTTCTCGGTTTTTTTACCTCCGATGAGGCCCTTCTCGGCCTCCGTTTGATGCAATTTTTATATCACCGTGATCACCATTCTTTTCTCTACAGGTTGACCGGAGCCGAATCACCAAAACACGAACCTCGCCGGAGAGCCGCCGCACCCGAGAGCGCCGCCGCCGGTAAGCTCCGTTTTTTCGTGATTTTTTGGCCCCCTGAGGGCCCTAGGGTTGTTTTCTCGCAGGGACCGATGCGAGTGTGGCCGAATTCGGCCAGAAACGGCCGAAAACAGCCAACTCGAGGCGAATCGCCGCCGGAGCACGGCAAAGCCGCCGTGCTGGAGTTGCGATATTGGCCAAAAAGGGGCCCTGAGCCTAATTTGAGATTTTTTGGAACACGTGCAGGTAACGTTAGTGCGTTTCAGTTCCCCGGAAAAAATTCAGAAAAATTACGAACAGCCTGTAAGCGCACTGTGAATCATATTCGAATCCCGAAAATAAGTAAGGACTTCTCACCCTATTTCCTATCACGGTATTAAAGCTTAATAATAATTAACACTATTTTGAGACTTTATAGATGTATAATTGATTGAGTTGCCAATGGAGCCCGAGTCTGATACAATGTTGGTCTG